GGAGCGAGAGGGACGGAGAGCGACGGAGCGAGAGGGACGACGACAGCGGCGGGACGACCCTTCGTCGCGGCGCTGTGTACGCGCGACGACGACGTGAACGCGCGCTTTTGTGTGTGTGTGTGTGATCGCTCTCACGCGCAAACACCGCGAGAACCGCGCGCCGCCGATATGTTACGCGGCACACCGCGACGACGACGACGGCGGCGACGTCGTTTGTTTAATGGAAAAAAAAAAAAAAAAAAAAAGAGAGAGGAAAAAAAAAACCGTTTATATTATATTTTTGTAAAGGTGTTTTTTTTTTTTTTTTTTAAAGGGGTTTTTTTTTTTTTTTTTTTTTTTTTTTTTCCCCCGCGCGTAGTCTCTCGCCCGGTAACGTTATTTTCGGCGCGGCGGCGGCGGTGTCCCGTCCGTCCGTCCGTGCGTGCCCCTCGCGCCGACACGAAAAACTGGTTGTTTCGCCGCGCGGTGACGAGGGGGTGCGCGCGCGCTCGCTCGCTCGCTCGTCCGCTCGCCCGTACGGCGTGCGACAGTGTCGTACCGCGCGCGCAAACACCGCGCGGTCACAGAAAAAGGGCGACCCGCCACCGTGAGAACGCGCCGCACAATATTATTATACGTATCGTGCCGGCGAGGGTTGTACGTGTGTATACGCGCGCACGCACGCGCGGGCCCGCTCGCGTGCGTGCGCGTGCGTACCGCCGCGGACCGGCGTAATAAATATAATACCGCGTGTGTGAGAACGCGGCGCTAACGCACATTACACTATTATGCATTATCCGTGTATATTATTGTATTTTTATAATAACGCGACGATCTCGCTCTCGCGCTCCGCGGTGTCCCGTCTCGCTCGCTATCGCAGTCCCATCGCCGCGCACGGCCCCCCGACGATTCACACGGGAATCCGCGCGCCACGGATTTCGTCCAGCAGGTGGCGGCCGCCGCCGCCGCCGCCGCTCCAGGGACTGCGTGTATAACGCGCGCGCATTCCTTCGACACAATACGAAATACGCGCGGTACAATTACGTATTACATCTAATACGCGTAGTTTTTTTTTTTCCACGGCGGCGCCGTTTAATTATCGCCGTCGTTTTTGTTAATGTGAGGGGTCTCTCGTTTTTCATTTCCCCCCCCCCAACCCGTAAAACAGACTCCGACACGAATAGTATTATTCGGCACAATCGCAGCGCTCGGAGAGTTCCTTTTAAAACGGAACCGATTCCGGGCTCGTTCCTGGATCGAAGAAATTACAAATAACGCTGCTCGGCCCGAACGCGTAAAATGTCCGTTTATTTTACGCGATACGTTTACAATGATGTTTATTGTTACTTTTTTTTTTTTAGAAACTTTTTAACAGGAAATGATTTTTTTTTTTTTTGATTTTTCAAGGGGTTTTTCGTAATAGTTGAAAAAAAACCGGGGAGAAAACTCAATAAAAACGGGAAAATGTACGTGCGCCTGTATGAGAAACCTCGCTCACCGTTGCATACGGATACAAATTAAATTCACCTCCTTCCCCCCTCCTATATCCTACCTACCCCTAACTTTTCGCCTGCGGCATTTAATTATATTATATATTCGTATTATAACGTGCAATAATGCCGTTTTGTTTGCGGCGGATAAAATGAAAAAAGCGCAGCACCCGTTCGCGTGCGACCGTGTCACGATTTTCGCCCGGTGAAAATGTAAAAAGCCCGCGACGGTACGTCACGAAACTCTCACAAACGGCAAGCGACCGGTTCAATATTTTATCGACGACGTATCTGCGACGGCGGCGTGTTATTTTTCGCGTTCCGTCCGTTCGGCACGCGGTTTCCCGCCAAAAGTATTTCGGAGGGTATATAATAAATAACAAATGCAACGATATTGCACAGGCCCATACCGGGGGTGGGGGGGGTGGGGGGAAGGTGTGGTGTTAGTGAAAGAGACCGCTCCGTCGCCACAATATTATTACACGCACGCCATCTCGAATGCCGTCGTCGTCGACCGTGATAAACACAGTTCCCCAACACGATATTTCGGGGGAAAATAAAAAATACGTCTCGTTAACAGGGACGTCATTTCAATTTCGTTATTTGTGGCGAAAACATTTTTGCAGGCCGTTTCAAATAATCACCATGCCGCAATCACGGGCACACATATTTTTCGGAGTGGGACGATCAAGCGGGGACATACCTCCCCTGTCATCCCTCGTGTACCCTCTTTTACCTTCTCTGCCAATTATATGGTGTCGGCCACCATTTTCCTACACCTCCATAGTGATCTTGAATTCTAACTGAATATATTATGATATTATAAAACACTAGGTACATATATATCGGCGGTTATACTTTTTATTTTTAGCAGGCCAAAGAAAACGTTTAAAAAACAGTTGGTGCGAATGCACATCCTGCACCCCTTCGAATGACGCCCCTGCCCTCTGCTCGTTAATATTATATTATTACTCGTACAACATAACAAGACGAACATAATAACGTTCGACAGATAAAACCCGTATCGTTTTATCAATACACAGGACGATCAATCCTCGATGAGACCAGGCACGTATACAGGAGGAGGGAGTCAACCACCCCGAATAGTTGTGTAATTTATTTATATAAATTTAATATTTTCAAATTGTGAGTGAAACGAAGAAGCTTATCGTTTTACAAAGATGTTTATTTTATCTGTTAAAAACTTTTCTACCGGAAGACTTGTTCGGATTTCTAAACACAGCACATTTTCTGAAAGGAAATCGGTGTAGGGAGGTACTTTAAGGAGGTAATTTTTCGTTTTTTTGTAAGCAATGGTTTATCGTTGCTTACAATTATACATTAAAATACCTATAACAGCGGCCGCACCCGTCCCCATTATTCTAGGACGTCTTTTTATTAAATGTTGGTAATTGTAAATATTTTATGAACGCCTCCCTGAATTTTTTTTTAGTGCACTTGTCTGGATGAGACACTATATTATACCCGGTTAACTCGGAAAATATTGACTTTTTTCCGGTTTTCTTTTTGACAATTTCAGAAACAATAAGCAGCAGTGGCAAATCGTCGTCATCATATTTCGTTGTCACCATTATATAGTCTTAGGGGATAAACGAATAGCTTAAATTTTTGATTTTTCAAAATGGAAACCTACTATACATTAAAAATTGCATAAAAACTGAGTGCTTTGAATACGTTTCGGCGTTGACGTTTTTAATTTCCGTCGACAAGTTGACGATAAATTACACTATTTCCACTTTTGAGTTCGAGTAGGGGACGAGAGTGAAAAATGATATACCTTGGGTTGACGGAAATCAAAATGTTCAACACCAAAACGCGTTTATACTAATATTCCGTTTGTTTATGACATTTTTAATACAACATGCCATTTGAAAATCTAAAGCGGATATTGGGGTCACGCTCCCGAAAATAAGGGTGGCGACAAACAATGGTAATGTAATGTTTTAGAGCTGGTTGTTTCTGAAATTGTAAAAAAAATTCCGAAAACGGTTAATACTTTTTGCAAAGGGTATATTCGTGTATCGCCCTGTAAACATTTCGAGTAAACTGAACAAAATACGAGAGAGTATACTGTATTACACGGGTAATCGAAATGAAAACCCCGTGGGATGATTTGTTTTTTTTTTTTGTTCACACGACTATCGATATTTGATCGAGGTAGATTAGGATTTTCCATTCATGCCCATCCACTTTATCTGAACCCGTCGCGGATTTTCATCGATTTTATCTAGGTTTTATAGGTTATAATATAAGTATACATATTCGTTATTACAGGATACTATTGCGCGTATATAACATCCTTGGAGCAGTATCGGTAATTCATGGATTTAGACCATCCAACTGCAGCTAATGGTTATTAGGTTTCACTGCTTCATCCCCTAGTTTATACCCCTATAGTGGGTTTTTATCAACTGTCGAATCTTTATTTTTATCATCTAAACCAAAGTATAAAAAAATTATACTAAACCAAAGTATTTTTAGATTCAGAGTGGAGCGAGGAATTTATTAGTTTTACGATGATGTTTATTTTCTTTCTTTCTGTGGACAACTTATTTACCAGAAATTTTGCTCCGATTTACAACAATAGCACTTTTTCTTAAAGGAAATCTGAATGGGGAGGTACTATAGGGAGGTCGTTTTTTGATCGTCCTAGGTGTTTTCCCGATAAACGGGAAAAACCGGGAAAAACGTAGGAAAAACGGGAAAATAGGTAAAATATTAAAAAAATATTACCAAAGAAAATATTTAATTATTTTACCATAATATGACATATATATTGTTAACTAAGCAATACTATCAAGTATCAACTTTTCGTTAGCAATGGTTAATCGTTGCGCACAGATATACATTAAATTTTCCCTTTACTATTTTCTCAACGTCTCACCTATAAAAGTGGCTACACCCGTCCCCATTATCCTAGGATAGTTTTTTTTTTCCTGGTATAGTGTCGAGAATTATTTTTTCCGGGGGGGTTTTCATTCCTCGGTTCGTTGATGGTCCGCGATGTTCAGGCTAATATATTGAATCAGACTTTTTTTCAACGAAAAAACTACCGTCTTAATTTAATTTATAAATGAGTATGATGTATAATTCGGTCGCGGTTCAAATATCTTCTTCCAAATTATTCGATTAAACGTAAACAACTGAGCACAAATATTAAAATTATAAATTATTTGATCTCTCTATCGTGCATTTCGGTATACGGTAGTGTTGAAAACGTTATTTTAAGGTTAGGAAAAAAAAAAATAAAAAAATGCTCCGCAAAATGTCAGTTTTTATTTAATTTCTAACTTATAATTGTTAATAAGAAGGGTGTTTTGTAATATAAGATTATATTCGTAGTAGGTCTCGTATACCGCTGCAAATTAGCAGTGAAAATTGAATGTCCAATATTTATAGATTAAACAAAATCACGTTTCTCACTAAACATGTTTTTATATGTTTCGTTTACCTGTTTAGCCGTAAAAATAATAATGATCTAGCATATCTATGACATTATATTTACATTAAAAACGAATAACTAATGATAGTGAAGTGAAACTATTTTGGATATCATAGTATCAGCTAGGGGATATTTTTATGAATACCTGCAGTTCTCTCTTCTCTTAAAAAAGATCCACGAGCAGATAGACTAGACCTTTGCCTTATTTACTTTTGAATATTCCCTAGCTACCCGCCGTCCAATGGAATGTATTTCTTGATATTTTGTCATAAAATCTATTAATTCAATCGTCATTCGCCATTTATTTTCAAGTGAACACACGCTATAGAAAGCAAAATCTCATTTTACTGGGTGTCCAATGGACTTTATTGAGTACACCTCCATAAACTTGTCTTGCAAAATAAATCATTTTAGTTTAAAACGTATTATAACTCGAACTATTTTAGATTATCCGATAGGCCTACCTCATATTCCATATGGAAATAAGGAAGTTGATCTGATTTTTTCATTATATACTTATAGTTTATTCGACAAACAATTGCTTTGACATTCCTACAGAATAGGCATATACTGGTATATAAAATCAGTTTATGATTGCGTGCGAAATATTTTTAAGTTGTTGGTGATAATGATTATAGTGACAAATAATCAACAACGAAATTATATACGATTGTGTATATATTACTATCCGTTTTATTATTGTTAAATTTTTTGATCAAAAAACGGACAGCCAACAAGAATAATAATATAATATAATACAATTATGTGTAAAAAAAAAAAAAAAATGGAAAGAACAGAATATTTGATACAGTATAATATTATGTCCTGAGATTCGCGAAATATAACTGCTTTGTGAGGTTTTACTGCGCATTCTACATAAATAGTACATATATATATAAATAAATTTAAAAATGGATATTATAAAAAAAGAACAAAAATGATTTTCGTGATACAAACGATTTTCACTTACATAGGTACCTGTATCCTATTTTTTCATTTCCTCGGGGGTAAGTTTCTCGATTGCTCGGAACAAATAAAAGAAAAAAACGAAAAAAATATATTATATTTTTGCTAAACATCGAATCGATACACGACGATACGGTTTTATTACACGTAACACAATATTTGTGCGTATTTTTTCACCGCGATTTCAAAAATTCACCAAATCCAATAACGTGGATAGTACGCCTATATTATAATTTCGTATACAGGGTGCTCACCCCATTTTTTCGGTTAAATTTTGCACGGTACATTCAAATTCTTAGGAATTTTAAGTGTATAGTTAAAGCCGATATTTTTGGAACATTCAGATTTTTCACGACGTTTAAAGGGTATCCTGTAGCGATACCGACTTTGATGTTTCGCATACGAGAACCTACGTATAACAAATTCCGTAAATAAACAGAGTATCGCTTTAAACGAATTTCGTCGTCGACGTTTCCGTCTATCCGTTGACGGGATATTCCACTTTTAAGCTCAGCCGTACAGTGGGGGGGAGGGGAGCAGTTAGGCGTGTAGTTTGTACGGCGGCACGGCGCAATATTTTTAACGCTCCGCCACTCACTCCCCTACCAAAACTTGAAAGTGGAATATCTCGTCGGCGGCTCTGACTATTGGCGCACATGGAAACACCGAAAATCCGAAAAAAAAAAAAAAAAAGAAGAAAAATTAAGAACGGGGCGAGCGCGCCCGTAGCGAATCGCCGTGCACGCGTCCGTGTTTCACACCCGATAACACGGTGGCGCACGACCGACGAATCCCGTCGCGTAACGGACGCGGACGGAATTGGCGTTCGAGCGCATTACGCGAGCGCGCGTACGGCCGCGGGAGCGTCGGGTTTCGCGTTCTCTCCGTCCGGCTGTACCGGGTCGTGAACGCACTGCGACAATCCAATGACGCCGCGCGACAATGTCGCCGTCGTCCCCGGCCCGGACACGGCACAACGCGACCGCGCCGCGGGCAACAACCACGCGGAAGACGACCACACCACCGGCGGCCGCGTGCGATTCGCCTCGACGATTCGGCGTCGCGGACGCCGCGTTGAGAGCGCACGGAAACCCGGCGGCCCCGACGTGCGGCCGGCCGATGTAACGCGCGCCCGTAAATCTCGTGGCCGGACGGAAGAAAACGTGCGGCGACGATTACAATGACAATTACGCGTGCAACGTAAATTTGGCGGGAAAAAATTGCGATCTCGCCGGATCGGGACGAGCGCGTCGGCCGGGTATTACAAACGACAATATTACATTGCGTGTGGGGTATCGCTGTTATTACCGTACGGACGTACGCGTGTTTTGTTGAAATTTTTTTCATTTTTTTTTTTTTTTTTTTTTTTCTGTAACTCTACATAGGTACGAGTAGGTATAAATTATTATTGTTAAACAAATGCACGGACGCGAATTTCAGGAATGTCGATTCCTCGAGGAGATTTCCGCGAATCGTGACAATAATTTAACGTACCATACAATAATAATAATAATAATAATACGCGCGCGCGAAGGATTATATAACCGCGAGCCCGAGCATTGTGTTTGTGAACGTTTCGCGAAAAAAAAAAAAAAAAAAACAGCCGACTGCGCGGATTATTATTGTTACAATAATGTGCGCTAAATAATAACAATTGAACAACGCGCACGCGTTCTAAATGAGTCGTGGAATAAATACCGGAAAAATTGCGCGATTTAATTCCTGCGCGCGAAATTTCATTACAACGCGTTTTCAAACGATAAAATGACGCGGAAAAACGATTTCTCGGTCCCGCGTCATATACGCGCGGAACGCGGGCGGGCGAAACGTCGCGATTTTCGCCATTGTCAAAACTTTAAACGCTTAAATATTGCAAAAAAGAAAAAAATAAATAAATAATACGAACATACTATGCACGATGGGTGGACCACTGTTGTGCGTGCACAGAAATTTGGGAAGGTATGGAGGAGAAAATTGAGCGTTTATATCTGTGTACGCGACGATTATGCTGTCGAAAAGCGATTCTGAGCTGAGTTCGGTTATAATAGTGTAACGCTGACAACAATATACAATAAATAACAACAATAAAATATCATATTATGGTAAAATAATTACATAATATGAACTATATTATATTTTTATAAATGATATTTGTTTAATATTGTACCTATTTTCCCGTTTTTTCCCATTTATTGGGAAAATCGAAAAAATTACCTCACTAAAATACCACTTTTCGGGAAAAGTGCTACAGTTGAAAATCGGAGCGAAATTGCTGATAGAAAAGTTGTGCGCAGAAAAAAATAAATAAACATCATTGTAAAACCAATCATACCAATCAATTCCTCGCTCCGTTCAACAAGGAAAATCAAACAAATCACTGTCCATCACCCCCCCCCCTACACGATCAGAATCTAAAAATGTGTAGGTATATGTATGGTTGAAAACTCAATACAAATGTGACGTATAAATATAATGTAGACGATATTTTTTATTTTATGAGTTGTTCAGATTTTATTTTTTTTCGCACCGTACACATATTGAAACACATCTACCTCATATATATTATTATTTATTATATACACGTTGCAGCGGAATGAAATTAATGGATGAGGTATTAATAATTGTCGACATAGACGCGATGCGCGTGCTTGCAAAACCGAATTTTCCATATATTTTTATGCGCGATTTAATATATCGTATTTAGAAAAAAACAAAAAAAAAAACACTACGCGGGGACGGGGGTAGTTTTAAGTTTACGAAAATGTACGTAGGTGTCATTCAACATCCGACGATTGGTCGGACCTTTTCGGCAGTACGATTCTATTGGACGCGCAAATCAGTTACCAAAACTACCAATCGGCGAGTTCGTTTTCGTCATTATCACGACGATGATTTAGTTATAATATATATATATATATATGTATTATACTAGCTGAAGTTTTACTCGTGTTGTTTATTATTCGTACATCGTGTATACAGGGTGATTTTTTTTTTACCATTAACCAGCAATCGTGCAATTAATTACCCTTGCCTACTCCTCCAGTCTAAACTTTAAACGATATTATAACTATCATAAACGGCAAGTTTGATATTAGTGTTATGCGTGTCGAAATTCCCCGAAAGATATTCTCTGTTCAAATATGTGTTCAAAGAGGGGGTCGGGTTCTTAATTTAAAAACCAAAGTACCACACTTATTTAAGGTGTATGGAGTGTATAGGAGTACAAAATTAAAAATGGTTTTCAAACAAAGCTTAACCGATTCCATAATGATTGAAAAAAAATTCGCTTAAAATCCTCCGAGAAAATTGTTGAATAATAAAAAAAAAAATCACCCTGTATTTATATTTTATTTTTCGTCCTTAATCCTTTTATCACGGTGACGCGTGAGGTCACGTACTATAATGCACGTACACGTATACAGATGCAAATGGCTGTACACGCCGTACGTTTATAGTCTATGTGTATACATGTACGTATAAAAGAAACTGACTAAAAGGACGCATCAAAATCGCTAGAAACGGCTATACATAGAAACACGTGCGTTCAGAGGTTATTCCTATATTGCACAATAAATCGTGTACCCGACCGTTAAGAAAACGTTTATCGTAATTCGACCGTTGAAAAGGACGGCCGACAAAGGATTTTCGGTATTTGTTTTTAAATGAAAATCGAATTTTTTTTTTATTTTTTCAGTTGATTTACGCGGATGGAAAAAAAAAACCAGGTATGTATTGGCTAATTGAGTTGTCGCGGTCAAGAAAATGCCCTTTCAACAATATACAAACGGGAAACAACCGTGATAGGGGCGGGGGTGTGAACGGAGATGTCGCAGGGAAACGCGAGGCAAATATTTTTACATATAGAGGTGCCCGGTGTATGCAATTTGTTTGTTATTTATGTCCACCGCGCTACTGTGTAACGCAGTAACAAAAACTGCGCGAAAATATACGCGTACCTAAAACGGAGTAAAAAAAAAAAAAGAGAAAAAAAAACCATGCGACTTGACGCAAAACTTTACAAAACGCTCGGATAATACGCGCAGTACGCAATCGGACGGACATAGTGAGGGGCGGGAGGGGGAGCGAATTCGCTATCGCGCAAATTATGTTCGGGATAAACAATTATTATTATACACTATATTATCATAATAAATAATATATTATACTGTTGTACAGCTGCGGGCAAACAAAAAAAAAATATATAATATTCATACGTAAAGAAATTTAATATTTAAGGGGACGACGTTTCGAAATATTCGGCAAGAGTCGATAAATCGATTATTTAACACACACACACACACACACACACGTACATTTATATATATATATATGTATA